AAAAACAAAACCGGAGTATGCGTTCGCGCAACTTTGGTCAAACTTTCCTAATAATAACAATGCGTTATTAATTGTGAACACGTTCGCGTGACATGATTTTCGACGTGCCAAACAAATGGGTACACGTGCGCGTGACCTTTTTCAACATAATCTTCTTAATTAAAAAGCGGTGAAAGGTAAAAGCATATAGGTTCCGAAATCAGTAATTAGACAATTTAGTCAAGCCAAGTATAATCAAAGCGACCGTGCTAGAACCACGGAGCTCGGGAGTGCCTAACACCTTCTCCTAGGTTAGTAGAATTCCTTACCCGGATTTCTGGTTCGCGTACTGTTAAACAGAGTCAAGCTTTTCCTCGATTCAGGATATAACCGGTGACTTGGGACACCATAAATCTCCCAAGTGGCGACTCTGAATCTTTTGACAATAAATCCCGTTTCGATTGTCCTTTAATTGGAAAAACTCCCTTTATACACCCCTCTTGGGGGTGTAGTGAAAAAGGAGGTGTGAGCAATAGTTTGTAGCTTGTAGTGAAAAAGGAGGTGTGAAAAAGGAGGTGTGAGCAATAGGGAAAAACTCCCTTTATACAGCAAGGAAGAACGATAGAAGAGTCTGTAGCTTCAGTACAGTCACATAGGCATCTATAAACTCTAGGAGTAATGAGATTAATTGGACAATTAAAAGCACAAATACAGTGTGCAATTCAATTAGCTATAAAGATGGGATAGGCTACTCTTGTAAAATCAGATAGGCTGCACAGCAAATCAAATGACATTAAGTCAATCTCGCTACTGTTGTCATCACGTTAGGCATGCTGATCATTTGGTCATCATATGAATTGCCATCAGCGATAAGTAATCTTAATCAAGAGTGACTTGCTAACACCAGAAGTTAATTAGAGAGAGGAGACTTAGGCCAATTCGACATTTTTCATGCTAAATTCATGGAGTTTCCAAATCAGTTACATTTTTACTATTATCCAGATTGCTCCAAGGCTGTCAAATACTGCTGGGGCTATGCGAGAAATGCTTTCCTAACACTATACATCAACCAAGTGTTGAACTTGATAGTCCTACCTTATATTAACAAGAAACATACTCTTAACAATCATCCAACTTTATATAGCTTGTTTCTTGAGAACTTCAGGTTGCACTTTGAGTATAAAAGAAACAAACTCCATGCTTTTGTGACAAGAAGTAAACTGAGATTTGGATGGCAGGACTTAGGAACAACAATGTTATAATGTGAATCTTGTGCCAAAAGCAATTCTCCTCTTCACTTATGTTATATATATTGCCCATAAGCCAAGGACTGCTTTATACTCTTAGCTTTAGCAGGAGTTATCTTAACACATTCAGACAGTAGGAAATGCAGTTACCCAAGGGAAAACATTATTTTTGTAAGGGTACTCTAAACCACGCCAAACACAACTCATAAGTCATGATTCTGATAACATTAAACTTCCTAAACCATATGCTTCAAGAAAGTATGCATATCTGGGAACGGAATAACAATGCCTGATCACAGAAAACAAAAGTGCATGACCATTTCAAATATTTCACCATGGCACCACAGTTTTACTTCCGACACTCGAAAAATTAGCCCAGAAAATCAAATGGAATTTACAATCTAAAGATAAAATTTTAGTTCCTTTTCAGCAAACACCAAACAAGATTTTTACCGGAAATATGGACACCTCAAGACAACTAGACAAAAGTAAGAATTTCAGAAGAATAAGGAGACATCTACAGAAAGTCACAAATCCGGCTCAGAAAAGAGGTCAATCTCAAGACAAGAATAGACAGACTTGCTCGTTTCATCGAAGCACAAAAATTTACATTTCAGCACTTGAAGTACATTACTCATAAGCTCAAAGAAAGCAATCACTGCACAGAATCATCTGATAATAGGGAAAAAAAAAAGAGTGAACCTGAAATTAGAGCTTTCAATTAACAAAGCTTCAGTGATTACAACAAATTAAACCGACTCGAACAAAGCCACGGCTCCAAACTTGAAACGAACAGCAGCAAGAAAACAGGAATCGACGAATTTGAACCAAATCAATACTGAAATTTCGAACCCCACGCTCAAACCCAACTTAAACTTTAAATCAAGCTTCCTTTTGAGAACCAGAAATCAAGAGAAAGAATAAATGCTAAATGAAATATGTTTTAGCGATTTTTGTTTGAAATTTTCTCTTGAAATGAAGTAAGCTCGGATAAAAATGAACTCAGACCATTTATGCTTCTTTTTTTTTGTGTTTTCTGAAGAGAAACAGACTCAAGCTAAAAAAACTCAAGAACCCTAGAATTTTTTTTATCCTTTTTGATTTTCGAAATTTTTTCCTAGATCTTTATCTGTTTTTTTCTTCTCTTTAGAACAAGAAAACTCACCTCATATATATAATCCTTAAAATAATCTCGAAGCTTCTCCCCAAATATCCGAAAATCCTCACGTTTTTGAACGATTTTTGGGACAAATGGAAGGCATGGATCGATCTCCCATTCATCTAGCGAATCGTTCTTTCGTACAAAAATCATACAATTCGGAGAGAATATTCGTTCCTTTCTGACAAAAGACCGTTTGGAATAAAATAACATGGAGAAGAGGGGGCCCATTTGAGTGAACTCGCCTGAGAAGAGGGGGACCCATTTGAAATTGGGCTTAGTGAAGAAGACCATGAACAGTGCAAACGGGCGCCGTTTCTATGTTACTTAGGTTTAGGGTTTGAAATGGGGAAAATAATATAAAGATGTTATATAGTAAGGGCGACGGGTGGGTCAAAATAGGTGGGTTTGGCCCGTTTCCTCTTGGGCTGGGGCGGTAGAGGGAAGTTATTTGGGATGAGGTTTTGAAGGGTGCAGCCCAAGGGCTAGACCCACTTTAAAAATTATTTTTCCCTCTTAAAAATTGCACGGAGCGCCCTATTTGGTCGCCCCCATTTAATCTATAACCATTTTGAAAAAACTTTTAACTTGTACCCACTCTTTAAACAACTTCAGCTCTCTTTCTCCTCCCCTTCTCCTCCTTCATTTTCTTTTTTCTTCTTCTGCAACGATGACTTCAACATTGCTCTCTTTGATTAATGAAGCTAAAGCAAATATACTGAAGAATAGTACTACTGCTGTGATATCTTACAAACGACGACGACAATTAATGTCAGCAATTTAGCAGCGTATGTTGTGTTCTCTTTAGATAAAGCAGCATTCTTGTTTCTTTATCTGCTGGAAAAGTCAGCCAACAATATGTCTGCCAAATCCAAGTAAGTTCCCATGAACCTGATATAGGTTATTTTTGTTGATCTTAAATCGTGTAACTGCTTTTTGTGCTTGAATGCTTTGTTGCATTCTGGATCATCTAAAACTTGGTCTGATTTTCGCCTCTTTCTTCCTAATGCTGTTAAAAGCAAAAAAGATAGATTGGCTAACTGTATTTTGATAAAAGGTTTCCAACTTCGGCTTGGATCCTTCTAAATTTCTAAGTTTCCCGGTTACAACACAAAAACTTCAGCTCTAAAGCTGAAGTTTCCCAGTTACAATACAAAAACTTCAGCTCTAGAGCTAAAGTTCGATAGTTAAAAAACAAAAACTTCAGGTCTAGAGCTGAAGCTTACAAACTAACACTTCAGCTCTAGAGCTGAAGTTCGATAGTTAAAAAACAAAAACTTCAGCTTACAAACAAAAATTTCACCTCTAAAGCTGAAACTTACAAATAAAAACTTCAACTCTAGAGCTGAAGTTCGATAGTTAAAAAACAAAAACTTCAGCTTTAGAGCTGAAGCTTACAAACAAAAACTTCGCCAATTACAAACAAAAACTTCAGCTCTAGAGTTGAACTTCAGGCCCGACTACTAGAATGCTGAAGTTTTGCGCGATTGTCCTTGCTACTTTAGCCTCGTATGCTGAAATTATGCGAAAAAACGGGTACGCTTACAATTTTTTTCGCAAAGAGGGCACAAGTTAAAACGTGACACAAAAAGCGGGTATAAATGCAAATGCCCCTTTTCCCTCTTTCTTTTATTATATCTTTAATCTCTCTTTCTCTTTCTCTTTTTTTTTAATTAAAAATCCCAATAATTAAAAATCCTAAATTATCTAAAATATGAAATTAAACTAGTTAAATAATTATAAAAAATTATAATCATCACTTAATTCCAAATTAAAAGAGAAAATCAATAAACTAAAAATTAAAAGACAAAAATGTAAAAATGAGCTATTTTTGTGATTTTCAAATTTTTATAAAGCAAATAATTATTGATTAATTCTAAAAATGTAAAAATAAATTCTAAATGCAATGCATGATATTTTGGTATTTTTCATGATTTAAATAAAAATTAAGCATGCACAGAAATGCAAATAATTAAGAAAAATTCTATAAAAATTCCTAAAATGACAAATAATTAACAGAAAACCTATTTTCTTGGGATTTTATAGGAGTATTTCATATAGGGCAAAAATCACACGCTCACAAAATCCACAAGGTATTTTCCAACACAAGTATCCCTTGGATATTATTTTTGAAGTTGGATTACTAGGAACAAAACCTGCAAATATTCCTGTGGAGTCAAATCATAAGTTAGCATTGGCTTAAAGACGTCACTTGCTAATCCAAAGAGGTATCGATGGTTGATAGGTTGTCTTATATATTTGTGCTTACTAGACTAGAGTTGTCCTACTGTGTGCATATACTAATGCCCAAGAGAAGAACACTGGAAAGCTGCACTACGGGTTGTTCGATTTTTGAAAGGAAAACTGGGACAAAGTATTTTATTGCCTAATGTATTTTATTTGAAACTATATGGGTGGTGTGTTTCAGATTGGGCATGTTTCCGTTTAACACAACAGTCTCTGACTGGGTGGTTTGTGCTCTTAACCAATTTACCAATATCTTGACGATAGAAACTAAGGATCCACCAGTTCTCTATTAGTTTTCACAGAACACACACACAGCAGTAAGTAAATAACACGGTAAAATTTTACATGGAAAACTCTCACCTCACTGGATTAAAAATCACGACCTACCCTCGTAGGATTTCAACTTCACTACTAAGCAAACTTCAGATTACGAACTATTGCAACCTAGGAACTAACCTTTTAATTCCTCATTAACTTGTAGTAACTCTACTACAAGCCCATTTGTAATAATTGACCCGCAACACATAGATGTAGAAGAAGGTCAAATTTATAAAGACAAGTGTGATGACCCGCCATGTCATCATGTCACATAGGCGCCATTTGGCATATATTAATGCCATGTGGAAGCTTACATAAGAAGAAGGCTAGTATTTGTGAGAAGATTCTAGAGAGGTATAGACATTTCTTTAGGAAAAAACTAGATCCTTATGGATTTGCTAGAAAAGCCCTTGGAATCTTCTAGGCTTGGAGAGAATTCTAGAAAAAGTCCTTATCTTGTAAATATCAAGGACTTGTGTAATAATTAATATTTACACACTAGCCCCTAGGAGACTAGTATATAAAGGGGTCATTCATTTGTAATTCATCAAGCAAACAATTCAAGTTCTCTCTAATACAAAGCTTCCTTTAACAATTCTCTTGTGTTCTTTCTTCCATTCTCTTAGCGATCTTGAGTGTAGTAAGGCCGACTTGACATAGCAAGAACGTGAGCAAGTTGTGCAAGATCGTGAGCGAGTTGTCAAGTACCGCACATGTACTTAGTTAACAACTAAGGACGTGACAACGTGGTATCAGAGCGAAGGTTTCAACTAAGGGAATAGCGAACGGCGGAGAAATTAACGCTGCCAACACCCAAGCCAACGTCATCCAGGATGTTGTTGGCAAGAGTGGCCGTAGCAAAAAGAGGAATGCCACCAACAAGAGCCAGGAGGTGTTACCTGAGGTTGTGTCTAACGAAGGGCTTACATCCCAAGAACCATCTACCACTGAGGCAAACGAGGATGAAGTGGAGGTCCTTCCAGAGGACGTCTCGCTCGGTAAAGAGTGGGTGATGAAGATGAACGCGAGGATGGACGCCGTGGAGATCTTTGGCCAACGCTTGGGGAAGGTGGAAGGCACCCTTAACGTTCCTGACGGGCACACTCTTGAAGAGATTGAGAGTATCCGAAATGACTTGGAGGGATGTACACAGACTGAG